AAATCATTTTCAACTCAGAATATCTGGGATGTGTTTCATCTGTTTCCCGTTGAGTGAACCATATCAAAAAAGAGCCTCTATAGCTCAGTTTCCTTACATCTACAGAAATAATAAATAGAAGGAGTGATCTCATTTATGCCTGGAAAGCATGCTGAGCTGATCTAGTGAAAGACACTGACAAAGTGTCATGCATTATTATTGCATTAGGCTGACTTCACTTCTGAAACCCTTCTGACATTTCCCATTTGGCCTTAATTGTGGGCGGTAACATTTCTGTATTAAAGAGGATGCTTTATATCACTGTCTGATTTATATTACATGGTTCACAATTAAACATTTTCTAAAAAGGCAGTAACCTGTTGCCGGAACCCCAGCCTGGTTCAGGGGTTCTGTGTGGTGGTAAAGTCTCTCCTCCAACCCATGCTTCCAAAGAAAAACTCTGCAGCCTCTTGTTGTTCGGTCTCAAGGCAGTTTATTGCTAGCTATCTAAAAGATTGTCTTCTCTGGCTACTACGGTTTGGTCAGTAGCTCAGGCAGAGGCACACACACGCCTGACACCCTCTCTGTCTGGTGTCTTTCTCTTCTCTCCCCCCGCCCAAGGCTGCTGCTATCTTTTATATGATATATTACGTGATACATGTTTACAGTTTTTCCCCAATACCTACTACCTATATTAAAAGGTGCTTTTCTACTCTAAACCAATCCATAAGTGCCAGCATCACCAAGAACATGGAGGTAAGGAAGAAGGAGGAAGAACAGGACCGGCCTACATTCCTCCATCTTAAAACTTCTGACCCCCATGTACAAAGTAAAAACCCCCCTGTACAATACTAAAAAATTTTCCCCTCTACTTTGTAACTACTTCTACTATCATATCTAGACTTTTGTGACTGCTTGTTCCACCTTCAAAGTTGGTAACTCATTCCATGGCTCAAACTCAAAATCACAGCTGTTTCCAGCTGCCTGCCAGGGTCTAAAATGCTTCTGACCAAGTCCTGGAATCTCCAGAAATGTCTGAGGGACATTTTGAGTTCCAACAACCTGTGAGATCCTCTCCCTTTCTCACTTCATTAAGCTACTGCATTACAAAGTGTTTTGCTTCATTGCAGATCCTGCCAAGCAGCTCTACTGTGCTCCTTGTAGATACATGTGAAGTATCGAGGTGAAGTTCATAACTATATTTGGGTATCAGGGTTTATTTCTTCTACTCTGTTGAAGGGGAGCATGACGAGCAGTTGAGGAATGCTGGGGGAAACCGTCATTAGCTTGAGCAGCCTGTGCCAAGGCTCGGGCTGCCCTGCCGAATCCCGTTTGTGGTGTGAGCAGTTCAATCACCCGGCTTTGGCATGGGGCTTGGACCACACGAACACAGGAGGATCAGGTCTGCTCCCTTATCGTGCTCCAGACACCGGTGCTCCGCACGGCAGAGAACAGCGGCTGTCCCTATGCTGCCGGCTGTCCCAGGTACCAGCGGCTGTCCCAGGTACCAGCGGCTGTCCCAGGTGACAGCGGCTGTCCCAGGTACCAGCGGCTGTCCCAGGTGACAGCGGCTGTCCCAGGTGACAGCGGCTGTCCCTGCGCTGCCGGCTGTCGGCTCCGGCCTTGGCGAGAGCTGTCCCGGCCAGCCGTGCCCGCCCAGCAGGGCGGCAGGAGGGGAAGGCTGGGCAGGAAATGAGCAAGGCCGCAGCCCGGCCCAGAGTGCGGCTGCAGCGCAGGGTTACTGGAGCAGCGGACAGGGGAGGAAGTGTTGCAACAACTAACACTCATGTCTGTGTTTCTCTCTGAAACAGCCTCGTTATAGAAACATCTAAGATAAGAGGGTTTGGGGGAAGGATTGCTGCACAATTAATGCAAGATGTCGTGACCTATTGCTATTTCTGAGAAGAGAGAGCGTGCACAGCTGCTCCTTAGAGCTGCTCTGCACCCAGTGGAAGGGGAGCACTCATAAAAAAGAGATTTTCGTGAAGTTACTGATTTTTGATCTGTTCTCAGTTTTCTCTCATGATAACTAAGTATTGTGAACGATGAAGAACATTAGAGCTTTATATTTTCCCAAGGATTTAAAGATAAAACTTATGAGGTCATTGATACATTGAACTGTGAAGGGGAGAGTCACTATTTCTCATTACTTTTACATGAGAGAATTTAGTGTAAAAAGATTATAGTGGCATGTGTACATTCTTATAATTGCACGTGTCTATCTTCATGCTTTTCATTTTTTACAAGACTCCTGACCATTTGGGTCCCCAGAAGAATGAGATGAATGAGAAAGGCATCCTATAGGGAAGGGGGTGGAAACAGAAGCAAGTGATATTTCCTACAGAGAGGGGAAAAAGTGTGACATTCCACTGCCAACTGGGTGTTGGTTTGCTGTATTGTCTCCATCAATAAATCTCTGCCTTCTTGGTGTTTTTTATAATACATCTGAAGTGAAAAAAAACTCCTCTTCCAACACAGGCTCCTCCCAGTACTGTTTTTGTACCATTGCATGACTATTAAATGCTGACCATCAGAAACATTTTGGTAAGATGTGAATAATCAGCCTTTGCTTACAAAATGCTGTTTCCATTCTTTATGCTTATCACTGTTAAATTAATGAAAAAATAAAATTATGAAGGGGTGGATGGATCAGTGAAGTCCAATCTTTGAATACTAGACACTTGCAAAACAGCTGCTATATTGAAATTTTCTTGTCTGCTTAGCAGGAGGATAGTTCAAATTGTAGTCAGAATTAGGACTGATACACCCAATTATGTGAGGGTGTGACAAATGAAAAAGGAAATGCCTGGTATTTTTATTTGTAATATGAAACTGACCTATAATAATACTAGTGATATTAAATTTTGTATGTTCCAGTGGATCACTTTCATTGGAATAGAGAAAATAGTTCTGCTTGTATTAATAGAGAGTATTTTTGAAACATTGCTTTAAAAATATGACTGAAGTTGAAATACTAGTAGTAGGGAATATATGATGCTATGGGTGTGGTATGTGTCTTTTATCATCATGGTTTCATATTATTTTAAGTACGTGTTCATACAATCTTTATAGAGACACCACATTCACTCCATGTGATTATACGGCTGAAGAAGCACTTTCTTTGCTGCAGTTTGCTTTTAAAAAAAAGCAGCATTTTAATGGAGCCTTTTATGTTACTCAGCTGTAATAGGGAAAAAGAATATCAATCAGTGAAAACACTGATTTCAGTGAGTGAAAACACAAGAGATTCAAGTCGACTTCTGGGTGTAGCAGGGAGAGTAAGGGTCTCTAACAGCAGCATCCTCTGACTATAGAGAGCTGAATCTGCATACACAGGTTAATTCTGTGAAGTTACTTAAAGTTCTAAAGCTGTCAAGAAAGCTATGACAAATCAACTAGTGATCCATCTGCAAGAATATGAGAAGAAATAGAGTGGACCAAACAAGTTCTATTTCTCTCTCTTTTAAGAAAGAGGGAGAAAATCTGTGGCAAAGGTACTCAGGTAGCAAAGGAGTCCTTAGCAGGTGAGCATGGACTAAGTGGTAATACTTTTGTGGGGTGGATAGCAGATAATGGTTCTCGGAGTTAGGCTCTGGACTGGGAATTGCATCTGTTTTCCCACCCTGGCTCTGCCACAGATTTCCTTGATGAAATAAGCAAGTTGTTAATGGCTTTGGCCTCTGTTTTTCTCTTCACAAAATGGGATTCTGACCCCTTCCTCTCCCAAGGGTCTATGAGGTTAAATTAAAGGATGTTTATAAAGTAAGCTTATATTTTATTTTTTTATTAAAAATACGCAGTTTCAACATTTTCAAACAATATTCTCAGCAGAGAAGGACTCTTGGTTATTATATTTACTCACATGGTGGTGCTATCTTACATATGTGCTTTCTCTTAATGATATTATCCCACAGCACTGGGAGGTCTGGGAGGTTCTGTACAAGTCCTGTTTTCTGGAGTGAGGAAAGAGGTCACAGACACCCTGCAAAAGGGAGCCAGGGCTGGCTGCCAGAGGCCACAGATACCCTCCTGTTATGTGACACCCCCTGCCAGCCTCCACTTCTGTGAGCTCCCTCTGCATGCTGGGACACCACAATAAGGTGTGAGAAGCTCTTGGGGTGCACTCCTCCTTCAGTGTAGAGGGGAACATGTCTTTCTTTTCCCACCCTAGGTAAACCTGCTTCTGCTTGTGTGTGTGCTGTAGGTGTTACCAAATGCTCTGTTAACACACCTTATGAAATGCCTTCAACCTCTCTCTTCATGCCCCTCTCCTCTCTTATTTTGAAGGATATAATTCAGGTAGTTATTTTCAACCTTTTGTTTACAACTGACATTTTTGTGCTGTTGCAGCACTATTTGGTGCTGCTCAGTCTCTCTGTTCCTCCCTCCTCTTTAGGCAAAGGGCACAGCATATTTCCAGAATGTATGTACTATAATTCCAGTAGTAAGACTACTTTGAACTGTAGGCAAGGGGCAAATGACCTGTCCTTGGGCAGGGGGATGCAGTGATTACTGCATAAAGTGTTGCAGAGGCATCACCAGGCGCAGGAACACCAGCAACACCCCGATTAATCCTTACTCCAACACAGGCACATGTCTCTTCTATCTCACTTTCTCCTAGGCAGCCCCAGAGCATGAATGCTGTTGGCAGTGCATGTGTGGAGATAGAAATGTGGTGGGAGGTGGAATTGTGGTAGAAGTGATTGATTTACAACAGGAGTTTCCTTTACAGTCATAAGGGGAATTTTGCTTGGTCACAGCAAGTTTGAACCCTCATGAAACATCCTGAATCATTTGAAGCTAAAATAAAACAGAGGATGGCAGGGGGAGGGGCATAACCGTTAGGGAGGAAAAAAAAGTCAAAAAACACATTAAAATTGTTTCCCTTGGTGCTGACTTCTTAAATGGGAATGTGTTCCAGAATAGTTCTGCTATGTAAGCCAACATTTGTTTTAAGATTTTTTATTGTCTTTTTTCCTCTCTTCCCCTTCTTCCCCTTGCCCTCCCTCTCTGCTCTGCAGATTTACACTGACTGGGCTAACCACTACCTAGCAAAATCTGGCCACAAGCGGTTGATCAAGGATTTGCAACAGGACATTGCAGATGGAGTTCTGCTAGCAGAAATCATCCAGATCATCGGTAAGACCAGGGCTGAGGGAAGCACTGCGAGCTGACTCCTTGCGTGGGGGAATATATAATTTAAGTTGAATGTATTTAACAATAAGATGAACTTGGAATAATACAATTTGACTGGATCCATATGTCTCTGATATTTGTGTGGTTCATCCTTGTCTTAATTAAAAAATATGTTTATGTGAGCATGTTTGGAAGTTGCTGTTTAACCATACTTTAAATGGCCAGAACTGTATCTTACACACTTTGAATTGTCAGAAATGAATGCTCCATTAAACCATATGTCTCCCATGTGTGCATTTTGTTAGTTGGAGTGGCTCATACTTTCTGGGATGCCTTGAAACTGTATCCTGACCCTGCAAAGACAATTGTGGAAGATTTCATGTCAGCAGTTATTTTGCAGGGGCTGAAGAATTAGCAGCGACCTCCTTCGCACTTCCCCCTTTGCATGATTTGGCATATGGAAGCAACTGCTGCTAACAAGAGTGTTGTTACTGTACGACTGAGCTTTACTTAGAAAAGAACTCTCTGTCAACAAAACCCTCTGCATTTTATTGCTGTGCCTTTTCTGCTTTTCTTCAGAGTTTTTTTTTTTTCTGTTTGGATTTTTAGGTTTTTGGGTTTGAGTTTTATTCTTTCCTTTATTTTTTGAGCAGGGGTTGGAAAGGAAAGTTTTATCTCATTGTTTACTTTTGCTTTTCCCCTCACTGTTTTTGTTTAGCAAATGAAAAGGTTGAAGATATCAATGGCTGTCCACGGAGCCAGTCTCAAATGGTAAGAATAAAATATATTTTTAGTTTATGTTGGTACCACTCCACCTTCCTAAAATGCTTTTTAATAAGGATTTATATAAAATAGGAATATTCTGTCCCATTTTTACCATAAAGTCCTAATTCTCATACAGGTTCCTGATACTTATTTTCCACACAAGCTTAATGTTTTTAACTTTGTTCCTGTGCTAGCTGTGGATCTTGAGATAACCTGGCAGCAAAACTTCATCACTTCTAATTAATCCAGAATAACCTTATCAGACCTGCTCTTCTGTGGATCCAAATAATTTCATTTAGCATCATTTTAAAGGCAGTGAATCCAAGAGTAAATTATTAAGTGGAGTCTGTGTGTCTGGAAAACTGGTTTGATAAACAACACTTGCCAAATTAGTTTTTAAATATAAATAGCCTTTTGGATTGTCCACTGTGCAGTCCAGTGTGATGAACTGACTCCAAGGCTTTCAGAAATAGCACTTTAGTCATATAGCTCTCTGAGCTATAGCTGGCAGCTGTCTAAAGACTTCTTAATACTCTCAGACAAAAAGCATTTAGTGGCTGTGATTCATATGGAGTCCTATTAATCTTTTACTGTGTTTATGGTTAGTCAACTACATTTAATAAGATGAAACCTCCTTAGAATACTGTGAAAGTGACAGACACAAAATCTGAGCCTCAGTAAAATCACCATGCATTTATTGAATCATTTGCAATCCAAGTCATGCTCTCCCATGCTGAGGTCTTTGCCTTTCTGTTCACATTCAAATAATATATAAATAAGGATTCTGGAGTATAGTGATTTGGTTGAACTTGCATAATAGTAAGCTGCTGAAACTGGGTTTAAAAATGGACATGAAATAGAAAACAAAGTGCATTTTTTCAGTGCATTTTTAGAGGTGGAAGGTGTTTGCAGATTTTTTCTGCAAAGAGTTAAAAGGGAAGGAGAAAATTTTTGACTACTAGTGAAGTGAATAATGGGGTCTTTTGGTTCTTATTGTTCAAAACTTGCAGGTTTAGAATAAGTTTTTTTCCTCTGGCTTTCAGACTTTTTGAAACAGTCCATAAAAATAATACACACATTTTCCTTAATAATAGTTATTACATTAATTACTCATATTACAGCAGCACCTAGTGGCCTTGGCTGAGAACTTTGGGAACTCCAGCGTGGAACTCTAATATTACACACACAGATCAAGAGATAATCACTCTCTACTTTCAATCATGTTAAAGTTGCCATTCCAGACAGGCAAGAGAAACAAGGAGACACAAAAGCACAGGGAAGGAGTATGATTCTCCAAGGTTATGTAAGTGGCTAGTGGTCATCTAGGACTGCTTAGGAGTAGAGCCTCCACTCCATTGTCTATTGAGCTTCATTTCCATGACTGAAAGAAGAGCTGCAGAGAGAACTATCCACTCTAGCAATGTTTGCATCTCCGAAACAACACTGGTGTATGTTCTTTGTTGCATTTTTATGTGGAAAATGGATTCTTGATTTCATCTCTAGCTCCATGCACCTATGGAGGAAACATGGTCAGTGCATGCCCATGCTGCAGTGGTACTTGTGGGTCTCCTTGTGTCCATCTTTCTCCTCCCACAAGCCAATGTCACAGCTCAGCCTGGCCAAAGAGTATGTCCCAGGTGCTCTGAGTGTCAAACCAGGTGCTTTGAGAGCTGCAGTGCATAGCCATATGTCAGTGTTTGCACAGTGACTAAAGTGTCACATTTAGCCACTTTAACTTCATAGTAGTATATTTATTTATCCATCCTTTGACAGAGTCTCTTTACTGAATTGTTTTATCTCTACAGACTGATAAAATTATTCTCCTGCCTTTTCACATACCAGTTGTATACTGCTGGTTTCTTAGAACTAAGTTAGGAAATTTAAAATGTACTGAAGTTAAAGTCATTCAAACTTGTCAGTTTTTCTCTCAGAGACCCAAATTTTGAGCCTACTCTCCATTTGTTTCCTTTGGGCTCTGCCCTGGTGTAACCTAGCCAAAGGCACAATTTTACCATATTTTCAAGTAATTTTCCTTGGCAGTGCTCAATTTTGTAGCCTGCTCAGTTAATTAAAGGGCAATTCTCTTCCTCTTATAGCAGTGGACTCTTGAGGTGTTTGTGATATGCAGGGGACAAAAATATAACAGTAGTCTAAGCTAGTTTGCATGTTGTATGTTTGTCATACACCATTATGTAGCAATATGTCCTGTTAGAACATCAGCCATCAAACCAGCAACAGTCAAAATACTCAAATAACATTTGTTAGACAGTCATTCACTGCTTTAATTTAAAAAATTTTAGTTAATAAACCTCAAGAATCCCACTACCCTCTTCTTGAACATATGTTTTCATAATCCTTGCTCTCATAACTTACAATTAAGGGGAAATGTTTTCTCTATTCATCTGCCTTTTGATACCCTTTCCGGGAGGCCTTTGATACCCATTTTCAGGAGGTCTAATATATTTTATTATTAGCTTTTAAAAAGCTAGAGAGCACTGACATGGATTGTCTGCTGTTGGAAATTCTTGATACTCTTTGTGGATGATATTGATACCAGTTCATAATTCATCACTACCAATATTCCCAAATTCTTTTCCACTCATAATTTGGTTTTCCTCTTGCCAATGGCATCATCTTTCAATTGAGGCATCTCAATTCAGCTGTTACTGAATTTAAATTGTAAACATATTTTAATGTTTATTTTAAATGTATATAAAATGCTTGGGGTTTAGTTTATCTTTACTTAGTTCTATTGCAATGTTTTGCACCCTATGCTCATTTTGGCATTGATGTATAAATACTTGCAGACAAGTTGAATTGGCTTCATAGGTCCAAGTTCATAAAAACTAAAAACCTGTGAAGCCCAGCAGTACTCAGTTTCTGCATCGTTAGCTTTACCAGGATTCATTATGTTCACCCATTTGATGTTGCACGTAGAACCTGAATATCTGAGATGTACTGGGGGATAAATTATTTCATATTCAAATCTCAGAAGCTTTAAATAAATGAAATTAATAAGAAAATCGGGGACGTTTGCGTGTTTGCTAGGTCAGTCTACTGTAGTGAAAATATTTTAGTATTTCCTATTAATTGTTTTCATAAATATAATAAGGATTTAAACCTCTGTGTATTACAGCATATGTTGTCTATCTGGAGTATCATGTAGAGTCTTGCCTATAGTTTTCTTACAGCTATGCTTCCAAGGAACAATACAGAGCTTCTATATTTTCATCATCTCTTTGAATCCCTTCAATGGAAAATAATGCCACATGAATTTTTATCTTTTCCTTGTATGAATTATTTCATAAGTCTATAAATTAAGGACATTTCATATCATCTTTATTTAGAAAATAATGGGATTTCAAGGGTTTACCTTTTGATAAAATCTAAAGCTAATTCCTTTCTGCTTCTTTATAACCCATTTGTTTCTTTAATTTCTGTTTTAAGTTCCGCCATCATTAGAAAATATGAGATAGCCTTCTGGGTAGAAAATACATTATAAAGATTTTACCTGATTGTTCAAAGACAAAGCATTCAGGTTTTTTTTTGTTTTTTTTTTTCCTTCCTGAACAGAAGATAAAAGCCAGTGTTTCGGCTTTTAATACAGCACATCAAACATACAGTAAGCACACATAACATACCAATTCAATCCATCATGGAGTAGTAGGAAAAAATACAAGAAAATAAACAACTATTGGACTGAAAATCCTTTAATGGTGATATTTTCAGTTTTGTCCCTAGTGACTTTTTAAAAACTTGTATTTCTATTCTTTCCTCATGTAGTTTACAGTGCTGTCAGCAGCATAAATCATAAAATAAATTCAAAGCTGACAAAAATTTTTAGCTTATTGCACTTCAAGTTGATTTTTCCTTCAGAGATCAATGCTGCCTTAATAGGTGTTTTTTAGAATTTGCTCTTACTACTTTCCACAAGAAATGTCTCTGCCAATAGGATACAAAAGCATCCTTAATTTTTGTTGCTAGCAGGAGTTTTCTTATAGTTATGATAGTGCTGGAGAAACCTTTCTTACTAAAGAGTTTCCCAGTGTTGTATGCACTTCATGAAGACTAATTTTTATTCTGTCAGTCTGATCTTTGGCACACTTTTCTACCAGTTTATACAACCAAAGGTATGCATCAAAGGTAATTTTATGATTTAGAATACAAATGTGCTGCAGTCCCACAGAGAAAGTTGAGTTCACTAAAAATAGAGGTCTTGTTCATCCTGGAAATCAGGGAGTGGAGAAAAGGGTTTGGAGTTGTAGAACATTGCCAAATTGATAAGAATCTTTAGTAAAAAGCTTTAGCTATCAGAGCTAGCACACATTTTGGGTGAGCAGCAGTGAATCTGATAAAAGTAGGAATTGGTGTGACTATGTTTAGAACTAATAAGATAATTGCTACAACATAGTTCTTTATTTCATTAATAATGTCTTAAAAAATAAAATCAAAATGTTTCATAAAAAAGACAGAAGAATGCCAAAAATGTTGCTCTATTTTATCAGACAGAAAGAAAAGTTGTGTATGTTAAAAAGAGGAAGGTGGAGTAGGTGAATCAGTCTCTTCTTAACCAGGGGGCTTTTTCTGTGAGAGAGAAAGAAGTGTGTGAAGGCTAAAGACAGACCAAGTTACCCTGTATATACTGGTAGACATTGCTTTGTAATTTATTGTTGTAGATGTGCTCCATAGTGTTCCTGTAGTCACGCAGAAGCCCATGGTGGCCCCATCTCTGCTTATATGCTTATAGGACAAGGTTGCAAGAGGATGGGGTGCATGCAGGTCTCTTCTTAACAGGGAGCCAGCTTGTGGACAGGATAAATGGGTGGAAACTGCAACTGCTAAATGTGCCATGTGTCCTTCAGACTTCCTCTGACATGGATGTGCTGGGCAGACACTGTGGAGTAGCACCCATCCGTGTCCAGCAATGTCAATATCCAAGGATGAGAACATCAGCATGATACTCTGTGTCTGAAAATTGTTTGTGAAAAACAGGATAAATTGAGGGT